ATATTAATTATATTAAAAAAAAGTGATTTAATTGTTTTCATATATATTACACGTAGAATATCACTCCATAAATTTAAATATAATATTTATTATGGTCAAGAATTTTATAATAATATATAGAATATATTTAGTTTTACAAAGCACTCCAAAAAATTTGATAAAAATAGAAAGATTAATAAGTTCTTTATTTTGTGGTATAAATGTTATAATCAATATATTATAGAATCAAAGAACTTACAATTTGAAATAATTATTTTATTTATTGTGATATATAAAAAATTTGAGTTTATAATATAACTAGGAAATAACTTGCAATTCATTTTTAAACCTTTTTTAGAGTGGAGAACTATTCTTTTAAATTTCATTATCTATATAAAATGTAATTATTTTTGAAATAGATAATTATGATATAACATATTCAATAATTATTAGTTGTATATTTTATTAAATTTCTTTAAATATTATAAACAAGGTAAAAAAAAAGAAATTTATTTAATATAATATATTCCATCATATGAACAAATAACAATAGAAATATTTATGCAAATTATAATTAATCTATTAAAAAGAGAAACTTATATAACTTTTATAACACTTATTTCTACCCAAAATATTTTTAAAGCATTATTGTACTTATATCAAAATATAAATCAAAATAAGCAAATGGAATTATATAAACGATAAATATCCTATTATTTTTCAGAAGGATTTCAATGGTATATATATAAAGTAATCATGGCATAATATTTATCTATTATAAATAATAATTTAAATTTATATATATAATATCACGACCTCGTGTTAGATATTTTTAATAAATTCTTTATAGCATAAATGCTGAAATGCATTCATATTATATTACTAAATATATATTGTAGATAGTATTAGCAAGTGAGAAATAATTACTGCAATGTATAAAATATTCATTAATGTACTTTTATAATATCATTACATAAAACAAATGCTACAAACATATAAATATAATAAAAAAAGTAATATAATTTAGAAGTCCAATATAGGAGTTCTCTTTACGAGAATATATAAATAAAAATCCAATATATTTTTGAAATATGAATTCATGCATCGCCTTTAATTATATATATTTTTTTTCATTTTAAATTTGTTGTCTCAGGTTTATAGAAACAATGAAAAATAAATAAAAAATTATTATAAAAATATAGGAGTATTATATTATAATCAACAAATTCTTATTCTATATTTTATTAATTATATTATGTAAGACATTGTAATTATCATTTTGTACAATAATAATTTTATATAGTATTTGATACATATTAACAACTATGCACATGTATTCATAAAACACTAATATAGGAAAATTTATACGCATATTATGGATATAATATAAAATGTACTAATGCCAAATATTTTATAAAATTTAACCTATATATATATGAATAATATTAATTAAATTATTTAATTCAAATAAATCTTTTTTTATATTACTAAAATGAATTATAAGTGGATTTGTCAAGTTAATGACAATTAATTCATATTTGGAGGTTTAATACAAGTTTTAATTTTGTTTCAAATAATGCATATTTTATTTTTTTTTATTTTTATATATAATTAAATTAGTGATCTATTTTTTATTACAAATAATTTTTTAATAAGTATACATATATATATTTCAAAGAATATAATATTTATGAATACTAATATATTGCAAACATTTCTTTATTTTCTAGCAAATAAAATCTTGATACATCACATATAATCGTTAATTGTATGCTTTCATTTACATATTATCTGTAATATAATGATTTATAAATGTACCCTTTATTTTATAGATCTTACAAAAATATGTATGTACAATTATTAGATTACATATTTATTCTATATATTATATGTTCCTATGAAATATTAATTTAAACATAAGCATAGTTCTCTTGTAGATAAAAAAAAATGACACACATCATAAGGTTATATTGTTATATATAATAAAACTTGCGCAAATTTATTACTATTCCTTTTTTTTTTCATGAATGTGATACAAGGGACATTGTAAATTAGGAATTAGAAATTTAATTATATTAATAAATATAAACAAAATTACTAAGAGAACAAAGGATTTATAATGCAATGTTACATATAATTGCAGAATTTTTTATTCTGTTAAATACTTTATGGTATTAAAAATTATGAATACATTAAACAAAAATGATGCTTTAATTATATATATAGGTAGTTTTTATAATACACTATATGTAAAAAAGAATAAAATTTATATATATTTATGAATGCATGAAAGGAAAATATTATACAAAATGTTTTAAAAATAATTTGAACATAATTTTTTCGTATATAATGGAGTTAATATATGCTTTGTAATTCATTGTATACATATATTTCCAACATGTATTTTTATTTATATTTGAGCACATGATCTTTTTTGAAAGAAGATTTCATACATATTAACATTGACATATTAATAACACTAGTGTTATATACATATGAATAAATAAAAATGTATAAATTTTATTAAAAATAATATATAAAAGTATAGAATCTATATTATTAATAAAGTCTTATTTTAACAATAATATTACATAGTTAATTATAGTGTTTGTACGTCATGTTATATAGGAAACAAAAAAATAGAAACTCTCTAAGGTATCAGAATTTAACATATATTTCATAATTTTTTAAAGTATACAAATTTATATAAGAATTAGAATATTTTACATATAAAATAACAGAATAAATATTATTCATATTTTTGTACAAGATTTTTTAAATATTTTAAATCATATATTTATAAATAAAGCATTAATGTATATTATTTGATTCTATAATTAATAACATATATATAAAAAATATATCCACATCAAAAAAATATAAAGCGTTTTTTTTTTATAGTACAGTGCTCTAAATTTTAATTTTATTATTATTTAAAATAAAAACAAGACTAATACGTTTATATAATTAATCTTATAAACCATTCAGAGGGAAAAAATAAGAACATATAAAAAAAAGTTTTCAAATATCAAGTACATTATTATATATA